CATTCTTTACCAGCAATTATTGTGGAAGCGCTTCACAATATCCCACATCTCGCGTAAAATAAAAAGCTAATGGCATAGAAAAAGGTGAAGGTGTCGAAATATGAGGGCAAAAGTATTAGAAAAAAATCAACTGTTTGGAAGGAATAACTACAGGGTCTTCATACAGACCTACTCTCGAAAGAAATATAACAGTCAAACATGTGCAATGCAACTCACTTACCCCATTGTTTTTTTCTGGGGTTGGGCTAATAAGTTTGATATTGCAACTCCCTAGTTGGGTTTCGTGATATACGTAGCCACCTGGTTTGATACATATATAGGAAGATATATATATATATATATATATATAGCTTCTCATTGGCGGCATATGCATTTTCACCTTATTGCTATCAGATTTGAGTCACATATGCACATACTCCTGCACATGTTCGTCTTTGTGTGTGTGTGTATATATACAGCTATACATATGTCCAACGAAAGTGAGGCTGATAATTATGTTTTCACATACTTCTATTCAGATATGCACAAATGTAGTGAGAAAGCGACAAGCGAGTACTTTGAAACAGTCGCGCCTCATCCTCATGCATCATATTGGTTCGTTTTTTCGTTCCTACGTTTCTACTTTTTCCTTTTTTTTTGTTTCATTTTAATTGCCATTGTGTTATGGTTTAAAGACACATATATGTATAATATGTACGTATTATAAAGGCCACGTGCCCTTATTTGACCTAACACGGAACACTCAATCGTAAAGTGAGAAAGATGAAGACAGGAAAACGACAGAAAATTAGGAAGCATTCCCCCTGCAACTGTCTGTAATAGGTGCACATAACTTTTGTAATACCCTTTTCCCCACTTCGTCCTCGTTGCCTCTTACACACCGTTGTTCTCTCTCCTCTGCACTTTCTTCTTAGCGATGTCGCCATGCCGTCACTCAGGGCCCTCATGAGGCGATGCATCGGAGCCTTTTTTGGTCCCGAGCACTCCGCGTCATACCGCCGCCTTGCTCAGTTGCAGCTTTCTTTCCTTATTGTACCTGGAAAGCACAAACGGTGGCACTTTTGAGACGATCTCAGGCGTGTTGTTCTTGTCTTTGTCATCATTTTCGTCGTCGCTAGCCCCCGCGACTCCGACCTTTTTTTGCGTAGAGTGTGGCAACGAAGCGCCCGACTTCGCGAGATCCCCGCTGCTCTTCAAAGCGCCAGTTACTTTTGTCCCTCCTGAAACTACATTCAACGATGGCGCAGACGCCGACGCCGTATTGGAGACGTCTGAACAAATACCCTCAGTCCCTTCCTTCTCCTCATCCTGGGATCCAGCAATGCTGCTCCATATCGACTTGAATTCTGCTCTCTGCTGCCGCAGATGCCCCCTGCCACCTCCTCCTCTTCCGCTCTGCATATTGACGTTTCTCGCGGTAGCATGTAGTTCTTCCTTTAGGGTGATCTTAAATGTTTCCAAAGCACTGGCTTGCTTCTCCGCGGAACGCCCTGTCCACGCCGCCGCGTATGCCTCTGGGCTCGCTTCGGTGACATGTGAACCGATGAGTATTAACTCCAAAGAACTGGGAAGCTGAAGAACATGGTGTCCCTGCCATAACATGGGCAGCATCTGCAAAGAAGAGTCATCCACGCCCTCGCCTTCTCGCTCGTGGGGAGCACACGGCTTTTTGGTTGAGGAAAAAGTCATAATTATACACTCCGTGAGAGGCGTTGCCGGTAATCGTGACTGTCCGGTAAAGAACATCAACAGCCGACGAACTTCTTCCCCAATGAAGTCATCCTTGAGACATTTTCGCAAGGTGCGAACCACGTGGTCAGCATATGGAAGATCGGCCAATTGGGGTGACGGGAGGAATACAAAATAGCTTTCCCACACAAATGTGCCCTTATAGATGTCTTCAACCGAGCTCAAGCCGCACAGCACGTTTTGTACCACACGAGAACAACAACTCTTCAACAGTGGACTGTGCCCAAGTGCCGTATATTTAAACCCACGTGCCACTTCATCCCAGAAAATCAATGAATTCGCGTTGTTTTTGCCGAGGTTCATGAGAATATTGGCAACCGAAAAAGTTGGCGAGGAAACACCGTCCTGTGGCTCCGCAGGGGCATTGGGATCAAAGAAAAGTTCGAAGTTTGCCGTCATTTGCGCTTTACTTATTTCGCCAGACCGGGTAAACAGTTCTTCGTAAACCAGGGTAAAGTTGCCGAGCTCCTCCGGAAGCTCCTTCAGAGAGGCGTGAAGGTTCAGCACGAATCCGATTAAATGGAACGCCAGCGGTGCGAGGCGAATCCCAAACGGCACTTCGTTGACGACGCTGTTGCCGAGAAGCCACCCGATTGTAAAGGGAAGCGACTGTACTCGGGTGTTGTCTGGGTGATACGCAAAGCCTGGGTTTGTCCACAGAACCTCCTCGGAATTTGGTTTAATAAATAGCGGGACGCAGTGCCCCACCAGGTTGACGCTTGTCGGAGAAAAACCTGGTGGTACTTCCACGTTTCCATTAAATATGATTAAATGTTCATCGTCGCGAACCTGCAGCGCCCAAGCAATTGCCCAACGGTATGTAACCTTCTCTGTTGAGCCCCTTCCCAAGTTAGTGGCACTTCGATCTTTTTTGTTGTTGCCCAATTGGAAAGTTGGCAAATTCTGCGGCATAGTATCATGAAGGGCAGTACGAAATGACCGTGCTCCATTGGCGGCACGTTGACGCGCGGACTTCTTCCGTTTACCTTCAGTTTCTTCTGTTTCCACAACAGCTTCAACATAGAGCACATCACCTTGCTGCAGATCCCTGAGGTGGGTGGCGGAACTCCACTGCAGCAGCGCCCCTGTTTTTGAGGCATGCTCCATAATTTGCGCCGTGGAGAGCACGTCAGCCACCTTGCTGAGAAGATAGGGCGGTATATGGGCGAAAAGCTCCGGCACGACATTGAGCTTAGCACACTCAGTAATGTCCACAGGTGGCCTCATTTTGGAAACACAATTTTCAGTGAATAATTCATACATCATTCCGCAACGAGACCTCCGGAATTCATTGTTAGAAGAGGCAGGGTTTTCAGAGTCGAATTCGGGGACAATAACGTCAGCAACAACTTTGGCACTTGCATTTCGAACAATGCCACGCTCAAACGCTTTCACGGTGCGCATAACGGAGCGAAGAGCGTCTGAACGATCAATGGGGCGAATAATTCGCGTTTCCTGCTCCGCAACACGGCTGTACAGAAACAATATGGTTCGTATGGCTTCTTCGTTTAGCGTATACAGCGGAAAGATCTCAATCCACCTCAAAATGTTTCTTGGACAGAATGCCCCAAAAGGAAGAAGACCCATGTACTGATATAAGGTGCGCAAGACATTTGCACACGTCACAGCATCCGTCACAGCTTCTGTAGGATCTCGTACATCGGATGAGAGTCTCAAAACCTTGACAATCACGGTTGCCCAGCTCACGACATCCACGCGCAAGGCGGAGTTCAATGAAACATCATCCGGCAACGAAGCTCCGTTAGACCCAGAAACAGGGGCGCCCAGTGCTGGCACATGAGGCTGCCTCGAACTCGACGAAGTTGCATTCAATACATCATCATCATCTTTTATTCGCTTTAAGCGAAAGACCCTCTCGTCAGCCGCAATGCTTCTTAGCCCGCCGGCAAAGAGAAGCATGTGCTTTAACAAGGTGTTGGTGACGACAGCAATCGTTGGTGGACGCCCTTCTGACTCCGTCCATTGGAGAAAGTAGTCGCCAAATGCAAATACATGTGGGTAGTGACGCCGGCACTTTGTGAAATCATCTCCTGGCAGCTTTTCAAAATCCCTACAGACGCCAATGACGTGCTCCTCAAGGCCGCTTAAGTCCAGTTCAACGTCGTTTGCTGTGTCCTTCTTCTTCGTTTTATCATCCACCTCTTCATCGTCTTCCACCAACTCTGGCGCCGTATGAATGAACCGTGCGATATGGAGGAGTACCCTAAGCGTGAAACATGCGAGTATATCAGAGAGGAAGGACGAGATGGACCGTACCGCCTCGATCAATTCCTCCGCAGAACGAAAACTTTTGACGCCGCTCAGCATTTTCACACGCTCCTCAAGTGAAACGAAAAATTCAAACTTTCGGCTTGTAGTTGCAAGGCATGAGATGAATGGCGCCAAAATAGGTTCTGAACAGTTGTAGTAGTTGTTCTTGGTGCTGACAATATCCACTGGCAGTACATCCAAGCACCCCTTTAGACGAAACACTGTGGCTTTCAAGGTGTTATGAAGGGATTTGTCAATTTCCGCGCACATTTCATCCAGCATCTTGGGCGAAGTGTAGGTGTCCAAGGCATCGCATGAAAGCCCGGCAGCGCTGCACATGATTATCTCCAGCATGACATGAAAAGGAGCTGACTTGGACAAATAGGAAACAAACGACATGTGCTCCTTAACAACGTCAATGGTGGCCTGCAGGGGATCCACGTCCGGAATCGACTGAATTGAAGTCATGTTAGTGGTCCGCGACTGCCCTGGCGACACTGCCCGAGCATTAAAACAATCTGCGAGTTGCTTGAAAGTCACACCAATCCTTTGGTATTCGGCAAAAGATATGTAGCCCGACGCCATACACTCCAACGTCCCCGGCGAGGTACGAAGCCGCTCCTTCCATTCCCTCAGAGCCTCCACGAACACTTCCCAGTTCCTGGGGGCTTCTGACGCATATTTCTGAGATGCACCTGACTTTGATGATCTGCCCTTGGCAGAGCCAAGCGAGAAACCCGCACCCATCGATCCTTTATACTTCCTACCTATCTGCCCTTACGCCCTTTCTTTTCTTTTTTTTGCTTGTTTGTTTGTCCTTTTTTTTTTGGTGGTGCGTATGATCACACTCTTCTTGGCGCCTTTTTTTTTCGTTATACTTCTCTTTGGCTGAGTCCCACTACGAAGAAACCTATGCCGAGCACCTGACTCAGGTTACTCTTGACTACAGAACTGGCCTTTTTCCTTTTCGTCGTATCTGGTGCGTTTTCTTCAAATTTTAATGCGACACGAGAGGGAGAGCAAACGGAAAGCAAATGGCGGGGGCGGCAACGGCAACAACCGGGCATCCGGCGATACGCCAACGGAGAAAAAAACAAAACAAAAAAACAAAAGCGAGAACATGGATACTGACCATCAACACACCGCCTTCCCCACTATGGAGTGTGCTGGCGCGCTTGAGGAGAAAATGACATGCGTGTATACCACGGCTTTTTTTTTTCCTTTCTGTTTCTCTCTGTGTTTCTTTTGTTTTCATTATTTTGCTCTCGTTT